TGCTAATGCTTTCTCCTCCATCCACTCTTGTGGAAATTACAGCAGCAGAGTTCTGTGAATTAAATGGCATGATCGATCAACACTAATGTGAGTACTTACATTTCTACGGAATTACTAAACATTGAGTTTATTTTGATTTGTAATGAAAGCCCTGTACAACAAAGTAGTTGAATCGATCCCCTAACTCAAATAATCAGTTCAGCAAAATGAAATCAACAAATATTGGGTATCTACTGTAGGCTCAAGGATCTGAAGAACCAGTTGGAAAGAGGGTTTGTAAATGTGGAAGAGTTAAATTGCCAAATAAGCAGTACACCCAGTAATTGGTCTAAGAGTTGAGAGAAGGAACCATCACTTTAGGCTCCAGTTGTCTAGGTAGACTTAATGGGAAACTCATATTTATTTTGCCTCAAAATTCAAAAGACCAGTAAAGAATTTTTCTTTTAATGATAGAGTGCTATTTTTATGACTTAAAAAAATGAGGTTGTGAGGTAGGTCTGAGGAACAAAAGAAACATTGAACTATATTTAGCAATGGTCTTCATAAAGAATATTTTGTTACCATTACAATTCACTGAATTAATAGTGTTCTGAAGGCTATGATGAGAACATCCACTATCACCACAGTCCCACTCACTACTAGGAGAGATTTAAAATTCTAAATGTCAACATACTATAAAAATGTAAAAAATTAGCTAGCTGCATAAATAATATAAATTATGTATAAAAGTTTTATTTGGAAATATGAAGTTGACATTTTTGGCTATCTCAATTCCATCAGGATGACCACAACAATCTTAGAGGTGAACTAGAATTTGTTTTGATTTGAACTAAAAAACTTAAACCTGATCATATTGGTAATGCTTCTTATTTTCCTTTTATTTTTAAAAATCAATTTTAGTGAAGTATAGCAGCAGTCCTCAAACTTTTTGGCACCAGGGACCAGTACTTCTATAAGAATCTAGTGCCTGATAATCTGAGGTGGAGCTGAGGACCGGCTCCCTCAACAGCTGCTCACCTCTGGTTTACATCCTGGGGTTTGGGGACCCCTGAGGAATAGTTCACATAAAACAAAACACTCCCATTTTAATTACCAAAATATTTTGATGAGTTTAAGAATTTAATGTATTGATCTAACCACCACCACAATCAAGATGAACATTTTCATTATCCCCAAAATTCCCTTGTGCCCATTCAGATCAATATTCTCCAACCCCAGACAACCCCTGACCTGTCTTCTGTCACTTGCGAATCAGATATGTCATTTCTAAAGTTTCATAAAAATGTGATACAGCATATATAATACCCTTTTGGTAAGGCTTCTTTTGCTCCGCATAATGTTTTGAGATTCATCCATGTTATATGTATCATAGTTCACTTGTGTTTATCACTGAATAGTTTTCCAATGTATGGATATACCACAATTTGTTTACATACCACAAATATTGATGGACATTTAGATTGTTTCTAGTTTTTATCTATTATAAAGTCATCATGAATATTCATGTACAAGTCTTTGTGTAACTATATGTTTTCTTTTGGGTAAATTTCTAGGGGTAAGACTGCTGGGCGGTATGGTAAGTGTAAGTTTAACTTTATAAGAAAAAAACAAACTGTTTTCCAAAATACTGATACCATTTTACATTTTCACCAGCAAGGTATGAGAGTAGTAGTTGCTCTACATTCTTACCAGTACTTAGTAGTGCCATTCTTTTTTTCACCATTTTAGTGAGTGTATAGTAGTATCTCACTATGGTTTTACTTTGCATTTCCCTGATGACTAATGATGTTGATATATTTTTGTACATATATTGGCTATTAACATATCTTATATTGTAAAGTGTCTATTCAAGTTTTTTGTTCAATTTAATTGGGCCGTTTGTCTTATTGAGTTGTGATAGTTCTTTGTATATCTAGGTACTACTCCTTTGTCAGATATGTGTTTTGTGAATTTTCTTCCAGTTGCTGGCTTGTCTTTTTCTTTTCTTTTTCTTTTTTTTCTTTTCTTTTCTTTTTTTTTTTTTTTTTTTTTTTTTTTTTTTGTTTTTTTTTTGTCTATGTTTTTTTTTTTTTTTTTTTTTTTTTTTTTTGCAGTGTCTTTGACAGTCATAAGTTGTAACTTTGTAAAAGTCTAATTTACTAGTATCTTCTTTTATAGCTTTTGTTTTTTGTGTCCTAAGAAATTATCTATTACCTTCAGGTAGATTGGGTTTAAATCTGTCATTTTGCTCTTTGTTTTCTATTTATTCTAAATCTTTTTTCTGTTTCTTTACCTTTCTTTTGGGGCTTATTTTTTAGAATTTTATTTCAACTATTGGTTTATGAATTACTTCTCTTCGTATTAATTATTAATGATTGCTCAAAGAATTACAGTATGGCCTTTTATCCAATCTGTATTCAAGTAACATACCATCTCTTATATAAGACTCTTACAACATAATGCTTGCACATATTCTCTCTTGTCCTTTGAGCACTTGCCATACATTTTACTTTTACATATGTTATGAACACTGTAACACATTGTGCTTTGTTTTTGTTTTTGCTTTTGCTTTTTTTTGCTTTGCACAATCACTATTTAACAAAATTAATAAATGGATACAAAAATTATATTTAACTACATATTGACCATTTCTGGTGATCTTCATTCATTGTTTCACATCTGTTAGCATTTTCCTTTGCCTGAGGAACTTCCTTTAACATTTCTTATAGTATAAGTCTGCAGGTAACAAATTCCACTTTTGTTCATCTGGAAGGTTGCTTTTGTTTTAAAGAATATTTTCACTGGATATAGAATTTTAGGTTGACTTTTTCTAGCATTTTGTAGAGTCATTTTTTTTCTTTCCTGCATATGTGGTGAGCAGTCTGGTATAATTTTTACCTATGTTCCTCTATGTGATTTGTTCCTCCTTCTTCTGGCTGCTTCATCTAATATAGGGTGACATCATTTCTTCTGTTTTCCTGATTTCCCATGATGATCTAAACCAATCACTTTCCCTTTGCAGCCACTTTCCCTCATTTGGGCCCCTAAGCAGTGCATCTTCAGGTCTCATATTCTTATGGCACCCCCACATGTACATCATAATAAATTTTGGACATTTTCTCCTGTTAATCTGTCTCATGTCAATTTGATTATTAGCTCAACTAGATGAACTTAGAAGGTGGGAGGGAAATTATTTTTTGGATTCCCACAATAGTAATGCTGCATGTATGTTGACTTAACAGCCTTTCAGCTCTCACATAATTTTCTGCCACTATTAATATTACCTGACCACAAAGACACTGAAATTTTTTTTAACTCCCATGATACATGTACTCTAACACTTAAAATCAGGCTCTCTTTTGTAACTCATATATATTGTCTCATCTCCCTAACTAGTTTCTAAGTTCCTTGAGGGCAAGGAGTCATATTATTACAGCTGACATTTATTTTGGACTATGGGTTAGCACTTTACATTTATAAACTCATTTAGCCCTCACAGCATCCCAATGACAGCTTGCTGTTGTCATCGTTGTGTTATGAATCAAGGAACAAAGCTTAGGATGCAGTATATTTACCCAAGGGCACAAGGTTAGTGAGACTGCAGCCTGGCCCAGTCATTTCAGGCTGCTGCTTCTCAGGGTATGGGATTCCATCCAGTCAGGTAGGAATGAGATGGCTCAGTAGTCATCAATTCATGAACCAGTGTAAACCCTCTTCTTTTGTAGCTAGTTCTCATATAAGCATAGGGCATACATCCCAGACATGCCGCTTTAACTGAGAGCACTACTGCCACCTTCCTCTCCCCTGAAGATTAAAATGTCCCTTATAGAGCATCCTAAAAACAATCAGAATTATATACAAAAGCCAAGATTATTTCTATCAGATGCTTTGCTACCTGACAGTTGTTATGTCCTACAGAAAATTGCTGCGGTCTGAATCTTTGCATTCCTCCAACATTCATAAGTTAAATCCTAATGCCTAAAGTATTAGGAAGTGGGGCTTTGGGAGCTGATTAGGTCTTGAGGGCAGAGACTTCATAAATGAGATTAGTGCTACTGTAAAAGAAACCCAAGAGAGCTCCCTAGCCCTTTTTACCATGTGAGGATACAATAAGGCTGACCTGAAGAGGACCCTACCATGCTGATTCCTTCTAGCCTCTGGAACTGTGAGAAAATATACTTCTGTTGTCTATAAGCCATCTAGTCTGTGGTATTTTGTTATAGCAGACTGAAGAGACTAAGACAGAAATGAAGGAAGAAAGGATAGAAAAAGAAAGAAGAGAGAAAGGAGACCCACGCATGTGGGAAGAGTGAGAATGGAGAACAGAAAAGGAGACACCAGAAGCCAGATCTTCCCAAATAGTTCTCCACTATAATGGTGTCCTTTTCTAAATGACTGACAGCCTTCCGTGTTGGTTTTCATTTGCAGTTTCTTGGTTCCCCCAAGCAGGGGAAGAGTTCTACTTTGAGAAGCAGGAGTGGTTCTAAAAGCTAGAGAAGAAGATGATGTAAACCCAGAACAGAGGCCAGCAGTATTAATGGTCCACCAGGGAGACCTCTCCTTGACCCTGTGACATTGAAATATTGCACAAGGAAGTAAGATGCTAGGTGTGGACTTTTACACTGTGCCTGATGGCAAATTCAAGATTGATACAGAGTCTGAATTTAAAACACAAAATTACACTTTTTACAACACTGGAAACAAACTGAAAAATGCGTTGATTTCATACACCTCATATCAACCAGTTTTATGACAAGTAAGACGCAGTCTAAATGATCACAAGCATATCTGTGGACTTTTAAAAGGGGCCAAACTGGCACCATTGTCCCAAGGGTCATTACAACTCTAATGATTGTGGTATCAAGAGCCAGATCCCAGCCAGGGAATCCTGCTGTCATCAGTGTGAAGGGCACCAAGCTAACATCTTTTCCAAATAGGCATATGCCTGGAAGTATCCATATATCCCAATTATCAGTACTCGAAGATAGGAATATATTATGACTGTTCTTTATTTCTCACAGGGATAGAAAATAAGGAAGAATAAGAAGATGAAGCATGGCAACAAACCATAGGCAGCCCAAACTACACCTTATTCAACTAGATAAATAGCTGTTACATTTATATGCCACCAGATGCTATGGCAACATTAGTTGGTTACATCAAATTCACTATTAGCTGATATCACTGGAATAAACAACAAATGTGCAGATTTTTCAAAACCAAGTTGTTTGCATCTGTTACATATTTCATGTTTCTGCTCCCGGAAAGCCTCTATTGAAACTGATTTGATATGCCATCCTCAGGACTTTAAGGAATGTTGCTCCACATCTCAAAAGGTAACAACATGGATTTTTACAACATACTCCTTAGCAAGACGAAATTACAACATAGGCTGTAGGAAAATTTCCACTTGAACAATAAACTGAAAGCTTTGTAAATATAAAATGACAACTTGCATTAAAAGATGCATGTTTAATTTTGGTATTTCCAATTACATAACAGGTAAACCATTCAGGCAAACGAAAACTGGCCATAACCTTTTTCTGATAACTCTGGCTATGGTTTTCTCTAAGCAGTGTCAGGTTTCCTTTTTTTCCAGAGGAGACAAAAGAGAATGCTAGATTTTTAGTTCAATACCACACACACTTCTGTACGAGGCTCCAATACTACATGTAATTGGAATAACAACACTAATAAGAGTCACTACCTTTAGATAGAATTACACTTCATTAATGTCTCTTCCACCCACTCCCGTTTTGTGGATCCTCTTCCTCTGATCTGAGCATCTGATCTTCCCAACCTCTGTCCTCACTACTCCCTCTAACAGCCCAGTGATTTTTCAAACGGGTCAATATGGTAATATTTAGAGACATTTGGTAGTGTCTGGAGACATTTTTGCTCATTGCACCTGGAGGTTTTTTGCTAAATGTCCTACAATGCACAGGACAGCCCCCCAACAACAGAAAAAATTACGTGGCCCCAAGTGTCAATAGGAGGATGACTGCATGCTGAGTTTTCTCTACTCCTTCTTGTAGGCCTGCTCATAGATTTGTAGGGCAGCCAACAAGGGCAAAAGGTGTGTGCACTTTGGCAGTGGAATACTGCAAACCATCACCTTGGGAATTTAGATGAAGGTATTTAAACCTATATCACTAAACTTTGATCGGTCAGATTCAAAATCCCTAGGAAGAAATATAACATATATGTAAATCCAATATGTATCTGTTACATGGGGGTGGAGAATATAGAACATAAACTCATGGTTTCCCTTTTCTCATTCCCCCTTGTCTTTATAATTCCTAATAAATTAATCTTTTGGTTATATGAATAAGTTTATAGTACATACAAGAACCATTTCTCCTTGCACTTCTCAAAATGCAATATGCTACTCAGCCTTGATTATCTTTCCATGTACATGATCACTGCTCTTACTGCTAATTGAGAAATTAATAGTTGTCAATGCCCATGATCTAGATTGAATTTGTCAACTGTAAGTTGTTCATCCTGAGATACCTTTGGATGCCTACAAATTGTTTTCCTTAGGCTGATAGTTTTGTTCTTGATTTTAAAATATTAATGTGTCAAAGTATTAACCTGCTTTGATAGAAAGATAGCAATGAAAACTTGCTTCTGAACAAAAGAAGAGAAGACTGTTTATCTGTCAGGCTCACATATCTCAGAAGTTGAAGTAATGAGAAGAGATAGTCAATGCATAAGAACTCTGTACAGCCAAGAATATCTGCAAAATGACAGTTTGCCAGGGACTATGTGGAAGAGAAGGTACTTCATTTTACCTTCATTCTCCTTGGTGGATATAAATGATTCTACTACAGGATATTTCCAAAAAAGTCTTTATACCTTCTTTCAGACATCCCTTTCTAGTGTTAATGAAAACAGATACACATCTCAGTCCATACTCATACTTGCGTCTTCCATCATGCTTAAGTGTAGTGGCCATCAATCTGTTAAACAAGGAATATTATGGTATGTTCAGGCAAAAATTATTCTAAATGCTAATGTAGTGTCATAATCAAGATCTTAGCTCTGCTGCCTGATTGAGTTTGAATCTTGATCCTGCCACCTACTAGCTATATGATCTCTCAAAAACATCTTTCCTCCTGCTTAAATGAGGATAATAATAGGACATATTTCATGTGGTTGTTGTGGGTGTTAAGTTAATATGTGTAAAGCACATAGAATGGGCAGGCACATAATAAACATTCAATAAAGATTAGCTATTATTATTTGTAAAGTATACATGGGCAATAGCCATTTATTATGACATGTTTTTTCAAAATGAAAATTTTTCCTAATTATATTTGTTATACATACTGATCATTTAAAAAGACCATAAGCAAACATGAATAAAGAAGAAAGTAAAAGTCCTCTCTAACCTTACCCCTTAAAAATAACCACTGTTAAGAGCTTGGTATAGATGTTTTCAGACATTTTTATACACATGCCCATTCACATACAAACACACACACACACACACACACACACATTCACACATATGTATATGAGTTCATCTTTTTTCTCTCAGGTTTCTGACTTTGGTTTATTCTCCTTTAATATTATGAACATAGAAGTCAGGTCAAGATGGAGGAGTAGGTAAACACTGTGCTTGCCTTCTCCCATGACTACATTAAAATTACAACAATTATAGGACAGTCAACCTAGAATAACAGTTGAAGACTGTCCTTAGACTAATTAAGAATGTAAAGAAGCCACATCAAGACTGATAGGAGGGACAGAGTTGCAAAACCAGCTGGCCCCACACCCACATGTGGCAAATGAGAATTAGGAGGTCTATCTCAGCTGTAGAGAGCCCCCCAGAGGAACTAGGGGTCCCAGCCCCACACCTAGCTCCTCATCCCAAAGCTGGGAAGAGGAGTCCCCACAACATCTGGCAGAGAAAATTAGTGGGGAATTCATCCATCCAGGTGAGATGGAAGGCTGCTGGTAAGCCAGGTATCCTCTTAAGCCCACACATGGACTCATTCTCTCCCAGGCACTCACCCTGGGCTCTCATGGACAGACAGCACCTCAGAAAGCACCAGAGACAGACAGAGACTGAGTTGTGTGGCTGCAGGGCAAGGGTTGGAGGGACAACTGGCATTATCCCTGTGTTGAGCCCTCTTCCCATACAGCTGGTGGCAGGCCCCCATCTTTCCTGTATTGAGCCCTCCCCACAACACGGCTAAATCTGAATTTTCATTTGTCCGGTGAGCTCTGCTCACTCCACCCTGGTGACTTGCCAGTGGGGACTGTGCTCCACCGAACTTGCACATTACCAGAGGCTTTTTTGTGGCTGGCAGGTAGCTGAAGTTGACCAGTGCTGCAGTCTTTCTTGGGCAACTCTCCAGGGTCTTTGGGACCCAGATGGGCAGTGGCTGGCCTCAGTGTGCTCTGAACATTTTGCTGAGTGGCCCAGGTTCAGCACTGGCTCCAAACTTGAATCTACATTAACCTGGTGAACACGACTTGCCCACCCTGCTGATTCCCTAAAACTTCATGTTACCCAACTCAGGTACTGCCTGAGGCTCTTCCAGCAGCTGAGCCTTACAGGCAGCCGGCAGGTGGCGGCAGGCTTTGGGGTGCCCTGGGCCTTTTGCTGAGCTGCCCCAGGCCTGGTACTGGTGGCAGCCAACCACGGTTCTCACAGCGTGGCCTCTCCCACGTGCCTCCAGATTCAGCACAGCCAGTGACCTATCTCGGATCACTTTGTGGCTCCTACCAGGTAACCCCAAGCTGGTCACAGGCAGCAGCTGACATTGGCCTGCACAGGAACTCCTCCTAAGAGGCCCCAGAACCAATACAATCGAAGGCGAGCTTCAGACCACAACAGAGCACCACTCGATTAGCCCCACAAGAGGCACACCCAAAGTGTGGTCTTGGCAGGCACCAGAGCCCACTTGGGCAGATCTCGCTCCATGAGGTCAGCACCCACATAGCAGCTAGTATGCGGTGGTTGTGGCCAGTCCTAGCAGCCAGTCAGCCTGAGAGTCAATCCCACCTACTGACATACCAATAGCAACCAAGGCTCAACTACAATGGGAGAGCACACACAAACACACAAGGAATACTCCTGGAGCACCTGATACAGATGATCAGGGAGACTGTGTCACTGAGCCCCACAGGGCACCTACTACATAAGGCCACCTGGCCAAGACTGGGACATGTGGCAGATCTACCAAATGCATAGAAACAAACACAGAGGGGCAGCCAAGATGAGAAAACAAAACATTTTCCAAATGAAAGAACTGGAGAAAACTCCAGAAAAAGAACTAAACATAATGGAGGCAAACAACCTACCGATACAGAGTTCAAAACTTTGGTTATAACGATGCTCAGTGAACTAGGGGGAGAATAGATGATCTCAGTGAGGACTTCAATAGAGAGATAGTTAACCATAAAAAAAGACATAAAAACTATAAAAAAGAATGAGTCAATTTTGAACAATACAATAACTGAAATGAAGAATACGTTAGAAGGAATCAACAGCAGATTAGATGAAGCAGAGGACTGAATAAGTGATTTGAAAGACAGAGTAGCAGAAAACACCCAATCAGAACAGCAAAAAGAAAAAATAATCCGAAAAAATGAGGATAGTCAAAGGACCTCCAGGAAAACATCAAGTGTAACAACATTCACATCATAGAAGTACCAGAAGGAGAAGAAAGAGAGCAATGAATTGAAAACCTATTTGAAGAAATCATGACTGAAAACCTCCCTCATCTGGCAAAGGAAATAGACATACAAGTCCAGGAAGCTCAGAAAATCCCAAACAAGATGAACCCAAAGAGGCTTATACCAAGACACATCATAAAATGCCAAAAGTTAAAGACAAAAAGAGAATCCTAAAAGCAGCAAGAGAAAGCCAATTAGTTACTTAAAAGGGAGCTTCCTTAAGACTCTGTCAGCTGATTTCTCAACAGAAACTTTTCAGGCCAGAAGAGATTCGCATGAAATATTCAAAGTGATGAAAAGCAAAGATCTATAACCAAAACTACTCCTCTCAGCAAGGTTATCATTTAAAATTGAAAGAGAGATGAAGAGCTTCCCAGACAAGAAAAAGCCAAAGGAATTCATCATCGCCAAGTCAGTATAATAAAAAATGTTAATGGTACTCTTTAAGAAAAATGAGGGGGGAAGGCAGGGGGGAGAGGACAGGACATAAATATGAATGATAAAATGACAATAACTACATTTCTATCAATAATCACTTGGAATGTAAATGGATTAAATGCTCCAATCAAAAGATATAAGGTAGCTGAATGGATAAGAAAATAAGACCCATACATATGTTATCCACAAGAGACCCACTTCATATTGAAAAACACACACAAACTAAAAGTAAAGGAATGGAAAAAGATATTTAAGGAAATGGAAATGGAAAAAAAGCTTGGGTAGTAATACTTGTATCAGAAAAAATAGACTTTTAAACA